ATGATATATTTTTAAATGAAAAATTGAAATTTTAGAAATTGATTCGATCAAAACTATAAAAACTAGAAGACATATTTCAATGTGTTTTTAAAATTAAAATCCGTCCATCCCAAGCCTCGCAATTTTGTCTGGCTTATTCGTCTCATTTTCGTAGTACTTAAGAAACATACAAAAAAACATACATATAATAAATTTATTCTTAGATTTTTTCCCTTTTAAAACATCAAATATACCTATAATCTACAAATTTTCAATTAAAGACTGTTATATTTTAATCAATATATCATATGATATAACAGATATATATTGTAGTAAATCATCATTATTAATTTCTAAACATGTTAATAGTTTACGGAGATATAATTGGTGCCACAGATAATAAATTTTCCTTAGAGTATTAAATATTTTAAAAATTATCAGTATTATTAATAAAAAATTTACTATTACTACCATTAATTGTGTAGAAATTTATTACTACAGTATTAGCGGATCTTTATAGCATATTATGAATAAAATTAGAAGAAAAAAAAATTTAATAACTGTATTTATTATCAGACAATTTAAAATTTTCACACAACAAATTACATAATACAAATAATAAATACAATTTTAATAAATTACACTGCCCAATTTACACTGGTATTGCTCACATGGATAATTTTTAAGGGGTTCGGTATAGGCAATAATATTAGTACGTGCTGTAAATGAACAATATTGTTAGTGAGGAGGACCGGCAATAACGGCTAGATTCTGAATACTCAATTACGAAATAATTTCAGATTACCTACCTAATCGTCATAAATAATAATACGGATGATTCAGCGATAATAACAAATTCTTTGGTGTACATACAATAAGATATTCAATTATTATTTTTATGTAGATATAAAAAAAACATAATGTACCGAGTTAATAGTTGAAACTGATTTGGTAAATAAATTATAACAAATAAAAAAATAAAAACACATATATTAGAAAAGAAAATTAAATTGTATTTAATTGCGGATCAATTAATTCTGGGAACATAATTAATGAAAAACTGTGGCAGCTGTAATTCCATTTGGTTTTTCCAGAATATATCATTCCTATAATATATTATTATTATTATTATTTCTATTTTATCAATACAAATGTCTACAATAACACAGACAATATTATAAAAAATAAAATTATACCTACCTACAAAATATTATTATAAATGTAAAAAATTATTTACACTTTGGTATTTACACTTTGAATATGAATAGTTCAGATTATCTATGAGTTATTATTAGAGCTCGGAAGTTATAGGTTATATAGTTATAAGTCATATTTTTATATTTTTCTGTATACTCTCAATTTATAGCAGACCAAGCTAGAAATCCGTTCCATACAAAAACGAGTTTAAATACAAAAATTAAAAATGCATTTTTTTGCATATTTTGGCAATTTTAAAAAAAAGTGCATATTTCTTAATTTTCATATGCGTTTTAAGCACATTTTATAATTTTTATGAGATTTTTATGCCTGTGTAATATTTTCTAAACAATTTGAAGTTTTCTTTTATTTTATTTTCGATTATTTAACGTACTAGTCGCCATATCTTACCGTCGTTATATCAATTTAAATTAACGGAGTGTATCTTTATAGCACTAAGGTGAACACTGTAATATTATCGACGTTACCGTTAATTTAATAGCAATAAGGCAAGTGTATTAGATTATTTTATAATTCTGTCAATTATGTGTGAATTTTCGTAATATATTATTTAAAACTGAAGCTCTTGGAATTCCACTTCCACCGGAGCCTATACTAACTCGTTGAGGGACATGGCTTCCAGCAGCTTCATACTACTGTCAACATTTTAAAGAAATATAAAGTTTTACAACTTCTAGATTCGAGCGATACGATTTCTATTAGAGAAGCTAAAATCATTGTAAGTGACCGTTCTGTGGAAATGGATCTAACTTTCATTCATATAAATTTTGGTTTTTTACCGACAACAATAACGTAACTCGAAAGACAAAAACTCCCGTTACATGAATCAATAGCGATAGTGAAATCCATAGAAAATAAGTTAGAGCTCATTATTGGCGAGGCAGGAATTGCAATCAATAAAAAATTTAAAAATGTTTTGGAAAAAAACCGTGGTTTTAATGATTTAAAAAAAATTTCATGTATTTTAACTGATGAAGCAACATCAATGGAAGGATTACCAGATGACTTAAATGGAAATAACTTAGCGCACTTTAAATATGCACCCATAACTTCATCGGATGTTGAAAGAAGTTTTTCGCCGTTCGTTTGAAATGGAAAATACAAAGGAAGTTCTGATTGTTCAATGCAATACGTTTACAGGTATGACAGTTACAATAATCTACATGTTTATTGAATTAATAACAAATAAATATAATTTTTCAAATAACTTTTATTTTGTTTTTTTTTTTAGATTGAAAAAATTACAATCCGTAAAAATCACCCAAACAATTTTGAATTTAATAAAAACATAAAAAAAAAAATTGTTTTGTATACTTACCTAGTACATTTTTTTTTATATTTTATAAAAATTTTTTTACATATTAAATACATTTTTTCATGCAAATTTACAATTTTTTTGTGCATATTTTGCCTTTTTTAGCTCCTACAACTTCCGAGCCCTAGTTATTATCATTAGAGGGCTTGCATCATGTGGAGTAAAAATTGCATTTATTTATTTCGATCGACGATAGTTTCGTTGAAACGTTTGTCTCATCCACACCAAGGATGTCCTCAGAGGGGACAAATGTAGCAGTCGTCCCTCCATGGGCTTTTTTTTTTCAAATTTTTGTTATCTATTATTTATATCATGATAGGAAAATACATAAATGTGAATACATGTATGAAGTTCACCCCTCCCACATTATTAAAGAATCTATGGCCATCACTGATCTACACGCATAATGTGGTTTTTATTACGATCGATATCTGTCCAATATGTCCAATAAAATATTCCACTATTTCAGTGTTATTTCACAATTTATTCACGGCAGGCGCGATAATTTGTTTTCATTTCATAGGAAGGCTCGAATGAAAAAAGTTTGGGAACCGCTCAGATACAATACATGATTAAATTATGGAAGGGGGCAGATATCTACCAAATGCCTGCATTCTCATGACTACGAGTAAAACAGATGTATGTATACTATTTTAGAAACAGATTACGAGTCGACTGGTTCTTCGGTGGGTCGACTCCGGTGCGGGGTACGTGTACGTGTAATCGGGATTCGACGATTGAGCTGAGCACGGGCTATGATATAATAAACTGTTTGTTATATCATGCAGCATACCATGTTTATTATATCATAGACCGACCGGCAAGTCGTGAGAGGCGTGGTGTACAAACTAGTGATGAGTGATTCTTGAAAATGAATCGATATTTTTAATCGATTTAAATCAGAAAGAAAAGATCAATTCGATTCACTTTAAATTAATGATGGGTGATTTTTAGAAATTAATTGATGTTTTGAAAAGATTCAAATCGGAATGAAAAGAACAATCCAAAAAACTACCGATTCACTTTATAGATGGTTTTTTTTTTTTTTTAATCAATTCATGGCATTATTTGCAGTTTGGTTTTTTTTGTAATAACATTTCCTGTGCTTTAGGTGAAAAGTAGTTGAAAATATAATATGTGTAATAGCTTTTAATTTGTATTACATAATCGGATCAACAAATAACAATAAATCGATTTACATAAAATATCGTATCAACAATTCGATTCACATAAAAAATAGAATTAACGATTCAATTCGATCTTCACAAAAACGAATCGATCTCTTAAAATATCTCTTAAAATACGATACAAATCGCCCATCACTGGTACAAACCATGAACCGAATACAACACAACGACCTCATAGTTTTCACGAAATATTCCGTCGGGTGTACGCGTCAACGGCACTCGGGACAATATACATTGCCTCTACTCCTATATCAATACAATTATAATTACATGTGGTCGTTTTCAGATAAGCTCGATTGGCCTGTCAATCTTATCTATGTATTTATATTTTATATTTTTATATATGTATCATATCTTGACATTTTGCATTTTATCTAGGGTTGCCATATATTTATTATAAGGCGAAACCGGGACAAAACAAACACATTATTGAGTAATACATTTTTTATAGAACTTTTAATATATCGAGAGGATCATTATTAATAGTATAAATAAAATAAAATTATTATATATTGATATGTGTAAATTACAAATTATGGTTTTATTATATATTGTTAATCGATTAAATCGTCAAAATTAAAAATTAAACCATTCTACATTTCCTCTAAACGTCTAAACCGGCATATATGGACGTCCCGAAAACATTTTTCGGGACACGAAGTCCAAAACCGGTGACAATCCCGGTTTCCCGGGACGTATGTCAATCCTAATTTTATCCCATTAAGAAACACTACGACTCGTAGCACAATGTTTGCTCACGTTTAAACATAATCGTTCGTGTGAGGTAGATTTAAAGTTACTTGAACTACTTTATTCACGCAGAAAAAAAAATGATTTCGTGTTGTATCGTTTTCGAAAAAATCAAAAACACCGTGGTCGTACATATACGTTTTTTACAAAAGACAATGAAACGCCAATGATCAACGGTTCTCGAACTTTATCGCCGCGTACCGAAACCTGTAATAATATCACGACGCGAAAGCATTTGGAATTGCACGCTCGCCCTAACGACGATCCACGACTCCGATGCATCGCAAATCCATTACGACTATATATATTATATTTATACCGATGGCCCTCGTGCCCGTAGTTGATAATAATAACGAACGGAAATCAAAAACCCCACAGCCACTGCGTGTACGCCGTATTTGCACGGATGTATTATTTATATAACCATTAAATTGATCGACAGAGATTATTATGTTAACGACGCGCGTGGAACGGTCGACGATAAGACCGGCTGTTTTGTTGTTCGCGTTTTCAGTGTTGTGCACCTGGACCGAGGTTCACGACGGTTGCTAGGCGATAAGGACGGTGTGCGTTTTCTTCGATCGTGAAACGTGCGAGCGGAAAGAGGACGGAAAAAGCATACCGATACGAAGACACGGCAGTACCGGATTTGTTTGGGGGCTGATCGTTTCTCGCGTCGACGCGCCCGCACCCGCAACGACTTTTCTCGTCCGTCCGCAGCGAAAGCGAATGCGCTGCACCGCATGAAACGTTCCGTTCGATATTGTTCGACACCGCACCGCGCCACCGTTGCGTTCTCCCGATAACGGAGTAGCGTACGCACGCGCGCTCGTTCGCTCGTTCTGTCCATTCCCATCGATTATTGTCCGCCGACGACAACAGCGACGACGAGCGATTGCGACGCACAACTGCTACGACGCGTTTAACGTTCAGTCCGCGCGCCCTCCTCTTTCTTTCTCTCTCGCTCTCTCTTTCTCTTCGTTCGACAAAACTTCAGTCACTACCCGTCGTACACGGCCTTTCGATCGCGTCCGCATCCCGGCCGATCGGTGATCACTTGTCGTCCAAGTCGTCCCGCCAATCGTCATCATTGATCCGTCCGTGCCCGGCAACGGTTCGCCGTACCAACGGGGGCCCCTTGGCCACCCTAACTTCCAAAGGCGCATTCTCCGCATCACCCGACGTGTGCGCACCGTCCAGGTGCCCGTGGCGACCAGGAGAACGATGAACTCCGTCAGCAGCGGCGAGGCGGCCGCCGCCCAGTTGCGGCACGACTACGCGTTCATCTTCGAATTACTGGACAAAATCAACAAGTTCATCAGCACGAAGTCCCATCCCAACGGTCAGTACATTTGTTACCGTCGCCTAGTCGCGCGTCCTCGACGACCGCTCGTCATTGTCTAGGTTAGCCGTTCGCGTTACCGCGAACACCGTTTCCTCCGCGAACGTGGCCGCCGACCACGTACCGGACCCAACGGTGTGACGCGCGTCACCGTCCATTTGCGCACGCCTGTTGTGCCAACTCGGTTCGCTTGACTATTTTTCCATACTTCCGCGACTCATGTGTCGCACCGTTCTCCAGTGCTAACCAACACTCTGGTTCAGCTCTCTTGTGTATATTGTCGGTTGACAATGTCTGACCAAATGGTTTTCTCGCATCATTTTCACGTATCAATACAACCCTATTGAAAGTCAACTCATTCAATGATAATCGTACTCTCTCTGTATAGCAGACAAACATAACCATAAGTATAATGCTATTACTTGCTTGTTTAACTCCATTGTGTTAAATCCTTGCAGAAATATTGCTTATGGGCATCCGTTTATGTGTTTTACAATAGTCACTGTTATACAGTCAAATTTATTTTTATTATTTACATTGTCTGAATATTTATATTTATATACATAGAGTTTATGATATCAATTATTAAAAGGTTATGGTTCAGAAACATAGAATATGGTTAAGAAATTTAAACCTTATCAATTTATCTAAATGTATTCTATGCATATATTAACTTATTATTAATAGGTTATTTCATTACTTTTTTACTAAGTTCATTGTACATTACTCTTAAAATATGTGCTCTATTAATACAAAAAATTATAATATTGTGATTTTTTATTCATTACAGAGTCCCCTTTTTATTAAATTTACTTTATTTGATTATGCTCCAATTTTCAATGTGAAACCCTTTCATTTTTTCTAAATTTTACACTTATAATTTATTTAGAATAAACTGTACAATTGTACTTGTTTAATCTTAAAAATGCAATCAATTACCTCAAAACAAAATTATTTATATGAATTTTAAATTTATTATTATACTATTTATTTTTGATCGAGTATAAAATGTTTTATTTAATAATTGTTAGTTTATTTCCTTATTGATCTTCATTAAATTTACACATTTTATTAGGTACTTTATTATGTACATTTGTATTTGGATTTATTTATGTTATATTTATATAATAATCGAATATTGTATGTATGTAGTTTGTACGTCCATATGAGAAATTAAAGGACTTATTTTCATATTAATTTTATAAGGCTTTTTGAATCTAATTTATTGATATTTTTTATTGTGTATCTAATAATTTTATTTTTATATGATACATTATACTTTTATTATTTGTTTCAAAATTCTCGAGTATATTTTTGCTACTCATATTATATAGTATTCTCCTTAAAAATGATTTATTTATTCGTTTTATAAAACAATTTTAAATACTTGATTTATATTAACTTGCATAGATGATTTAAAATATCTCATATTATTTCACAATTTGATGTTATATTTATTTTTTGTAGATGATTATCTCAGCGTACCAGAAATTCAAGCCATAGTTGACCAACATTTAAGAATGAAAAATTTTCAATTTTCAAATCATTCCCAAAGAATTATTCATTTTATTCTGTATCTGAATACAGAGATAGAAAATTGCAGTTGGGTTAAAGAAGATCCATCGCTAGAACTTAAACGATATGTTCATGGTAAATCCATCACTAGGAATACATATTATAAACTTGTGGATATATTGGAATTGAGGCCTTATGTGGAAGAACTTATAACATGCACACCATACAGTTTTTGCCGCGATTTAGTTGATATTACTTTGAATAAGATTAAAGCTATGGATGCACTTTTACAACTATCAGCGACAGAGAGTTTAGTTATTGCATTGATGAAATCTGTTAAATGTGGGCCTGTAGGATCCAATTTAGAAAGTCCTTTAACTAGCCATTTCAATCAAGCCATGTTAGTATTTGGTAAGGATTATTTGCCCCAAGATATCAGAAGAATTGATTTAGAAGAAGAACAAAAAGAAACGACTAAGTACAATGGATATCGTGTGAAAACTATTTTCTCAATACTTGTAGAAATGATCAAATTTGAAGATGTTATTGACAATTACAAACTATATCCCTTGTATACATTAGAATCATTACGTTCTGTAGACCCATCAGATGTTTCTGGAAGAACAATGTTTAAAAAGTTTTTTGATGTGGTCATGTACAAGTGTATGAATATGTGTAATTTCAGTATTGATGCATGGCTTTCATGGTATGAGATTGAAGTTTCCGGACAAGATTCCAATCTACAATCAGCAATTGGACATCTATGTTATGAGTTGTGTAGTTTCATAGACAGTGGAGCTATTAATGAAGGTTTCTTAAAGGAATTTAGACCTATTTTACGCAATATATCTATAGAAAGGATTGATTTTGCAAGCGTCAATAGCTCTGACATTGATGGAATGGTTGATCGTGTTAATAAGTCTTCCAAATTTCATCTTAGCGGTTGGATAAAAAGAATGATTGAAAATACTAATGTTTTTACTCATCCCCGTGCCATTCAAGCATTAGATAATTGCATGGAAAACATTGATTACAATTGTTATAAATATATTGTTGATAATTATTTGACCCATTGTAGAAATGGAGGCTCAGTGGTTGAACCAATGGGTATTGCTATATACAGGGGAATTAAACACTTGGATATTGAGGATAAAATGAGCTTGCTTCGACACGTTATTGTTAATCATGCAGAAAATGAATTTTATTTATCAGAAGATTTTGAAGAAACAATGCACTATGTTGCCCACAATGAATTCAATGAGAAAATTGATCAAAAAGTAAGTCAATCAAAGCACTTTCAAAACAATTAGGTGCTTAATTTTGAAACTTGTATTATGTTTTGTATTATATTATTGTACTTATGACCAATTTAACTGTTTACAGGAAGTGATGACAAAGTTAATTTGGCTTGTTATGCAGCAACCTAAAAGAATACTTCATTTATTAATAAAACAATATGTCAGTGGAATTTGTGGTTTGCCGGTAAAAAGTATCGACTGTCAAAGGTCATGTTTACACAGAGTACTGGTTGAAATTCATTCAAACATGAATCCACAATTTATTTATCAAGAATATTCAAATTGGTTAGATTTTAAAGCATCATTAGTAGAAAATGAAAAGTTTAATCTTCGCCAATGGGTAAAAACATATTAATAAGTAAGAAGAGTTTTTTTTATATAAAAATGTTTATTGTATTTATAGATTTCTGGATCCAAAATGTTACGTTTGATAAGACCAAAAGCTTTTCTTGCAAATGTTCTTGTACCTCTTCTCAACCCTGGAACAAATTATGGACATATGAATTTTTTGATTTCCATAGTTCAAGTTTGTATTTTTCCATATTAATTTAAAAAATTATTTTTAAACTGGATTTTTTTTTTCTAGTTTTTTCTCTTAGAATGTCAATTGATGACATTACCTGATATAGATGTATGGGATAAATTATTAATTCGGTTGGCTAAAATACTGGATGAAGCACGTTGGACCATTGAAAATTATTCAACTAGTAGAGTTTTTTTATGTGAAGCTCTCATTACGACTGCACAACCAATTCTTCATTATGCGTCTTATATCAGTATGAATAAATTAATGACATAAATTGGTTTTATATTATATTTCATACTTGTGTTTGTAAAAGATTTGATTATCTAAAATTTTGATATATTTTTTACAGTCCAACCAAACAATTTAGATAGTATCAAACAAGAGTTATCAACTTTGCATTTGATGACTCGTGCTCATTTTCTACGCTTTTGGGCAGCTGATTATATAACAATTGAAGGAATGGACGAACACTTCATTATGACTATTCAATCTCACAGTCATATTTCATTCTCTAATTTAAATAAATCATCGACTCAACTCTGCCGTGAAGAATTTATCTTCAGTATTGCTACAGTAATTTAACTTGTTTTACTTAAACATTTTAATTACTTATTTATATGGATTATTTTATCGTTTCTAATTTTATAGGAGTAATTCTAAATTATTTTCATTTAATTTAATAAGATAGTTGATTATATTCGGTGAATTATTTTTTTATGAAATATCAACTATACATTATAAACATTTTAAAAACAAAATAAAATAATATAAGTGATAACCATTAAAAAAATATTGATGAGCTTATGTAACTCTAAGAACTTAAGGTTTGCTTAGACTAATTAATACAAGTTATAATTGGTTTTTAACAGTATTCTCAAATTATTTATCATAAAATATTACACAGAGTAAAATTAAGTTATGATATACATATGATAAAAAAAAGTTATAAATTGAGTTGTTGAATTTTATAAATTTAATTATATTTATTAATTAATATCTATTTCACAATTTTTTTTAGTTTCTCAACCTTATTTGTTCTATTATAAGACAAATAAAAATATTTAACTTTTATTAAGAAAGTTAATCATACTTTTCAGTATTTTTTTTCTGGAATTGAATTTACAAATTATTAAATATGTGTATATATATAGATATATAATTTGCTTTATAAAATCAACTATCTTATTAAATTAAAACTTCTATACAAATATATCCAAATGTATTTAGTATTCATTATTATATATGTAATGTATTTATAATATATGTATTTATATATGCCAGTGACTGATAATATTTGTATCGTGAATTTCGAAAAGGGCTCATATCTGAAAATTAAAATAATTCAGGAAACTAAAAAATTTGATTTTCTTTTGAATTATATTTCTTTATTTTAGCAATTGACAATAAATAATAAATGAATTCATCACAATATAACAGAGATATGAACCTTTATTGATCATAAAATATCGGTCTTTATATGTAGATGAAAAAAATAGGGCCCTTTTTGAAATTCACAATTCATTTATTTTAAATCAATACTTATTATATTTATTAAAATCTATTGTATTTTTTGAAATGTATAATTTTATATTTGATGTATCTTTCTTCCAGTATATGCCTAAGTTTACGATGCATGAAGTAAAATGTTTTGTGGCCAACTACCTAAGTTCAGCGAAAATTGAAAATATTATCGAGGCATCATTTTTCTTATTGGATTGTGTTATGAATGCTGTCATGAGAATTATTGTATATGTGAAAACTACTGTACAAAAACCATATAGCGATGAATGTGCTTGGGATTATGTGGGTGGTCTGGTTAACAACTTCCTTGATACTGTAAATGTATGTATGATTTATTATTTGCCTGATTGTGATCTATCCTATCATATATTTAAAATATAAATACAAGAATTAAAAGAGAAATTCTATACGGTTTATTCAAATGTATTAAATTTATAATAAATTTAAGATAATGTATAAACAGACTTTTCATTCATTAAGATATTATTGTGTAAAATAATTTATTGGAGCTACAATAAAATGTTCTTAAAATTTGAAATACTAAGATCTGTATAGTTTTCGTTTTTTAAACATTTTTTTCATAAAATATTTTACAAGATGTATATCTCAGATCTGCTAGATGCTAGATAACTGTGACTTCAGTAATTTATTCTATTACATATGATTTGTTTCACAATTCTATTTAAAATTTATTTTAAGCTATTATTAACTTTAATTAAAATATAATTTTGTTATTATTTTGTATGTTCTATATTTTTTTTAATTATGTGTGTACTTATTGTTCTAAGTTTAACAGAGTGTTTTATTATATTTTTTTAGGCATCAAAAATGTCTTGCATTTATAATCAAGAAGCTGATGTAAAAATGGCAGTCGAATGTATAACAAAAGTTATAATGGTAGTAAAACAATTGGATAATGTTCGCCAAATGCCATTATTAGTTTTTATTCGCCGTATAGTTGGTTCACTTGTTCATTCATTGGATGAAGAATCCACTTCAAAACTTGTATCTTTGATTATCTCTATAAAAACTCCGAATTCTTTAACAGTGCTGGGAAATACAGTTAGTGCGTTGATTAGTACTGTTCTACACACTTCAAATTAGTTTCTTGCTAAGTACAATTCCCAAATATACAAGTTAAAATATTAAAAATGGAAAAAACTCCTTTTTGGTTTTATTTTCAGTAACAAAAATACGATTAAAATTTTTTAAAATTCAGTATTTTAATATATGGTTATTTATTTAGTTATTACTATTATTATTATTATAAACAAATCATTTCAATAATTCTATGTTGATTATTATTAAATTATTATCTAATTATAAATTTGTTTTCCTAATTAGATGATCTCTATACGCTAATAAAGTAACTAATAAGAATAGACATGATGGTAATTATAAATACAATATAAACTTAAATCATTAACAAAATCTAAAAATAATATTTATGTATTCAAACTGATTTAAATTAAAATTATAAAATTCAAAAATATTGGTTTCTAAATAATATAATTATAAAATGGGTAATATTTGATAACCATTATTAAACCATTTTTATTTAATTATATTAAAGTTACCATTTCTTAAAATATTTTGTATAATTAGTTTTTTTTATAATTATAATTTAAAAGTAGATATGTTATACTGATACATAAACTTTTTTTTTTATCCATGTTAAGAAACTATGACTATAAATAATCATTATACAATTACTCTTTTTACACCAAATTTTCAAAATTATTTATTTTACTTAATATGTTTTTCTCTTTACCATTAATTTGTAAAAAAAAATTGGTTGTTTCTTAAGTTCTTAAAATTCAAACATCAATAGTAAACTTAATAAAAAGTAGAAATAGATATTATTAACATTTTGTTATTTTCATTTTATAAATAATATTTATTTAAAATAAATGTTTTTTTTTTCCAAATGTATTGTTTATATACTATATAATATAAAATTAGGTGCAATTATGTTAAAATATAAGAAGATTCGTTTCATGTAAGTAACTTTTACGAAATTGTCATTATCATCTAATCACACTTTTGATTACTCATTGCAATTCATTTTTGAATTAGATATTTGCTAATTTTAATCCATTATTATGGTGTAAACTTGTGTAAAATGTATAATGAATTATTATCAAAATATTTTAATTTAATTTTTTTGCTTTGTTCAACATAATATCGCCTTTCATTTGTTATAACTTTTCTTGGTCATTCAACTATTTGTTTTAATAATTTATGTTCATAATATGTATAAGTGTACTCTCAATACATTATCATGTTAAAGTTGAGTATAATTATTAAGTTTATGTAAATTAAAATATAAACTTATGATAAAAATAAAAGTAGAAAAAAAATATTTTCTTCAAAACTAAAGTATAATTTATATAATATTACAAATATATTTTTTTTGTTAGTATATTTGTAATTATGTATTAATGAATGAGTACATAATGAACTGATATTCTCATTTGTTTTCCTTTCAGTCATTTTAAATTAATTTAACTATGTATACTGTGAAACGGTTTGTTATATTTTTATAACTTTATCATTTTCAGTATAGAGTTAAATCATTTTAGCACATATGTTATTCATTATGTAAGTAACATTTGAATATACATATTAATTTTATATATTTTATTATTTAATTAATAATGTAATTTTCATCTGAATGCCTATGATTTTTCTTAAGATATAAATAAATTATAATAATAGTAACAACGTATATAGAATATGTGTTTTTATTTTGTATTTCTTCAATTTATTTATTAGCTAGATAGTAGAAAAAAAACTCATTATTTATATTATTACTTGCTTAATGTTATGGTCTATGAGCATAGAATATTTAATGTAATGCAATTAGACTCATAATTGAGACATTTTATTAATCGAATGAGACATCACGAAATTAAAATTATTATTTAAAAAAAATATATATATTTTTGATGGGTGCTAAACAAGATTAATGGAGAGTTAAAGACCTAAAACTTTGTAACTACGTTAAATATGTCGTGTTCCATAGTGTTAACCCTATTTTATGTATATATATATTCATTAAATGTCAATTAAAAATTTTTTACTTTTGACATCTTTAACTGAATAACAAGCGTTATTATTACAGTTGTAATAATTGTAATTTGATTATTTTGATATTATCCTCTTAGAGAAATTTGATTTGCTGTCCATTATTTTAATGTAATGTATGAATTGATGATAATTTAATTCATGACAGTCAGATTCTAGAAATTTAGAATGTAAGATAGTATTTTGTTTTCTCATATTTATAATATAACATATAGTTTAAGAAACTAATATTATACAGTTATTTTAAAATTAAATTTTAAGTTAAATGTATGTATATTATTGATAGAAAACACATGATTAAATAAATATTCAATTTACATGGTACCATTAAATTAATTTTTTTACAAAGACTCAACATTTGCAAAATTATTATCAATGACAAATTGTAATTTGAATATTTATAGTTATTGTTAAAATAAGTGTATTTTTTCAAAAAGATTCTCATCAGACCAAAAAAAAAAAAAAAAATTAAGATATTTGATTTTAAAATATAAATTTGGTTAAATTTAATATGAATTTTATTGTATTAATGATTTCTTAATATAAAAAAAAAAAAATTATTCAAATTATATAACAAATACATATTTATTAAATGTATTAATGTTTTATTCATGATGTATAGAAATGTAACAGATATTACAGTTATCCAAGTATTTAAAGAAAGTTAATTATTCTATGATGTTTCTGATTTTCTATACATTTTGATATATTTATAAGAAATTTAAAAGAGTAAAATGTTGTTCATGCGTTGATTATATTTAAAAATTAATTGCATTTGTAACTTTTTTTGTGGATAAATAATGAATATGTTTCACTCAATGTTATAATTTAAATTAAGTGATTGTATTAAATGTATTAATCATATTATCAGAGATACATCAATATATAGTGAATATATAATTTATCTGGACACCAATTATAAAATTATAACACTAAAATTGGAAATTTTAATCCAATTGTATTGAAAGTCAGATATTTCATTATAACACCACTGGTTCTCAAGAAAAAATAAGTTAATGCATTTTAAAATTATTAATATCTTATTAAGTTTAATTAAATTTCCTTTTTTACAGTTATAATAACATATGATACTTGTAATCACATTCGGGACCAACATTTTATCTCATTTAAGACATGTTTTTGTTTCGGATGGATTCAGTCTTAAATAATTTTCACTGTAAATGTTTCTATCATACATTTATGACTATAATATATTGTTTTTAAGACTTGTATAATACACTATACACTAACATGTATATTAAGCCATTTTTATAAATGTATAGTTATGTGAGTTAAAATATTATTTAATTTATTACTTATTAACAATTATTATAACCATAACTATTATATTTTTAATTATTAATTTAATTCTTTATTCATGTTCAAGTATAATTTATTAAGGTTTTTAATACCCAAGACTATTAAAAATTAATAATAATTAAAATAATGATTATTTTTTATTTAATCATATAAATGTGTATACCTATAATAATAATCCCTCATTTAATATTTAATTATAAGGCAACATTTTTTATCATTTATCGAAATTTAAAATTTTTTATTATTTTACTATTAAATGGTTTTAAATTTGGTACTCCATTGTGATAACAATTTTTACAGTTGAAATTATCATTCATTGCTGCTGTTACTTTACACTAATAAATATTAAGTAAACGATGTTTAAAATACCAAGAAAATTAGATTAGACATGTGAATATGTAAAAGTTATATTTAATTTGATCTTTTATTGTATGTAAGTTCAAATAACACTTATTTAGGATGAAATGTTTTCTTTTTTTTTTTTATAGTAACAAATAGTTACTATTGTATATTAGGTAGGTATTTTGAGAAACTTATAATAGTATTCAATAATTATGACTAAAGGAGTTACAATTGTATTTCTGTTAATATAAATAATATTAATATATTATTGTCAAATATTTATATTATTCTTACACTAAAAATTGATTATTCCATAATATATACCTACTCCATGACTTTCAAACAAACCATATACATGTTTGCCACTAAAATTAGACAATATCCTTTAACTATATTGATTTATACGTTAAATTATAATTGTTATAATTATTTATAATAATATTCGTAATAAATAATATTTAAAGTACTTAAATGTATGACAGATAGTTTTCTATTCTTCGCCTCAATTCTTCCTAGTGTAAATCTATAACAACTTATTTTTTTATTTTAACTAAAATGAAATTCGTTAGAATATTGCATAAAATACTAAAAAGACACCCGTTGATTTCGTAATATTTAAGTGTTTAATTGTATCCAAAAACAAAAGTGGACCCATAATTGTGTTGTGTGAATAAACCTGTGTTTTTTCTTACAAGTATAATATAATATTTATATTTGAAATAAGACTTGTCTACAAAGCTGGAAATAACAATTAACACCAAGATATAATAAAAAAGTAAAAATATAATATGATATAATTATGTAATACAACTTTGGATCTCTTGGACCACATTATTAATGGTATTGAAAACATAAGTATATTTATTACTGGCAGTAGCGTACTAATGGTGGGGGGGGGGGTTCTAACTTCCTCCCCAAGGCCAAAAAATGTTATGAAGTGATATTTTAAAATATTTATTGTTATACTCTGAGCTAAGAGTAAAATCATAATTTATGGATGTGTTATCGTTATATTCACTAAAAAATGCAAGTTTAAATGAATATAAATTGATGATTAGTTTATAAAACTATCTTAGTATCTTAGTACAAGTTTCTAAGAAAGATGTATGAAATAATACTTATAACAATGTTCAGCCGTAAGGGGATAATATTATACCTACGATAAAACATTATATTTATGTAAAATGACTGTATATCTTGCAAAATAAGAGACATTTGGGAGGGGGGGTTATAACCCGCTACGGCGACGCAGCGGTAAAAAATGGACGCGTGCACAGGCTTCTTAACTCGAAACTTAACGTGTGTACATTTTTCGTCGGTAAGTACACCAACATGATACAATAAAAGCTGGGCTATGACAAAACATATTTTGGCATAAGAGTACTTTTCACTAGGTGGCACTT